TTGAAAAAAATATATATATATAATTAGTGTTTTAACAAAAGATGAACATTTATGAGGTAGCAATACTGGCAACTTTTTAGGTTACGTTCTGCTAAGTGCTTATTTTGAGCATTCTTTCGTTTTGGTTGTCACAGCTGCTGAATTCTATGAGATGATGATAGTCCTAGAGCCTAGCAGAGTACTCCTGTGATGGATTTCCCAGAGCAGGTGAGAATTTTGGTGTCTTACCTTATTGAAACTGACAAAGGCAAATGGACCCAGACAAAGAGACTAAAATTGTGATGAATAGCAATCTAATGAGCTAAGCTGAGCAAACAGATATCATAAAAACAAGAATTTGATGTCTCGTGCTTGGAGGGACAAACTTGTTAATGTGTTTGAAGCATACTTCTTTGGTTGCGCTAACTAGGATGTGCAGATATGTAAACAATTATGTTCTTTCTTTCTACTGCAGAGAAATTTATCTTATGTGCAAACATATTTTCAAGATACATCCTATAGTTGTTCAATTTTTTAAACTCATAAAGGGTAGTATAAATTGAGTCTTTAGTGAACCAGCACAGAAGTATGAAACAATAAAGTGATTTTATTTTTTAAAATTAGCTGTCTTTGAACTCTTGGATTACAATTTTAATCTGAAAATTTGAATGCTTGTCACAATGTTTAGCTTTGATCAGCTTCCTCCTGTCATTTTTTTTTTTACCATGGCTGCTTGTGTTACAAGAACTTCTCTGCACAGAATTAGGCCTATTTATAGCAATATGTATTTTGAGCCAAGTTCAATACAGATGCACAGTTGACATGTAAGTCACATCAGAGATTTTTGGATGATGCTAATGACACTCAACTTTGGGGTCCCGTGATTTGACTGACTTCAAGGGAAAGGAATGTTCTGAAGCAGAAACTCCTATTTTGCAATTTCCTAATTAGGTATTCTAATATTTGAGTGTGGAAAAAGCAGGATATAAATATTTCAAGAAAGCAACTTAGACTTAATGAATGCATTTTTCCAGCGGATGTAAGTATAATCAAAAACATATTACTAGATGTATTGTTTAATTTCCCAGGATATTTAAGTTTCTACAGTAAATATATATATATATATATGCAATAAATATATATATATATATGCAATTTCTAAAGAGAACCCATTTAGTTAACGGCCAAGTTGTTAAACAGTATCTATGTTGTTTTACTTTTATTTTGAGCATGAAAGCCTTAAGAATCATGAAATCATTTGAAGTGAGAACAAATACTGATTCAAAAACAATTAGGAGTTTTTTTTGTTTTTTGTTTTTTTTTTTAAAGGAAACATTGGTGTGAACCAGACATCAGGGACACTTAATATGACCTTAGGGCAAAGAGTATGAATACTACAGGTGCAAAAGGAAGCTGCTACCACTGAGGAAAGAATGGCCTGTGCATAGGAAGCCTTGTAATATACATGAGAGGAGATGGTCAGGCTGAACCCACAAGGTAAATGAATGTTGATGAATAGCCAGCATGGGCCTCCGTGTTGCTAGTCATCAAGGATCCTGTTTTCATTGCCGGAGTTTAAGAGCTTTCTTGAAAATATACATACTTTAGTTCTATAATAGATCTGAACACATGTAAACTATCATGATTTCTTTGTAAGTAACCACTGGTATAGGTTTATATTCCTGTTTCATTTATTTTTAAGTAGTATTAGATGATAGTCAACATATGAAATTATATGTACATAAAAATTTCAAGTAAAAGCCGGGTGGTAGTGGCACACGCCATCCGCCTTTAATCCCAGCACTTGGGAGGCAGAGGCAGGCGGATCTCTGTGAGTTCAAGTCCAGCCTGGTCTACAGAGTGAGATCCAGGACAGGTACCAAAACTACACAGAGAAACCCTGTCTCGAAGAAAACAAAAACAACAACAAAAAAAGATTTCAAATAAAGCATGTAAAATGTGTTCTATGGATAAAATACGTGGTAAATTTAACTTATAAAGTACAATAATTAAACACCCCAAGCTTGTAATCCACCTTAGGAATCAGAGCATTCCCAATAGCCTTCATCTGCTGGTGGGCTCCTTCCTGATCACATCTCTCAGCTTCCTCATATCCTGAAGATAACTGCTCTTTTGAGTCTAACTGCTGTTTCCAGTTGCTTGTTTGAAAGCAGTACAGTGGCTGAGCTATATTACATCAGGGAAATCATCAGTTCTGCAAACCAGTTTTTCACTAAACATTTACCAGCACGTTGCTGACTTTATCCATCCTGTGTGTGCAGTTGAAATGCATTTGAGTCCCTACAGTGTAACAATTCCACAGCTCATTGGTTTCATCATCCATGAACATCCTAACAAGACTTGTTCACATTTCCTGGTGCATAAAGCTGGTTTCTCTATGATACTCATCTAGATACACAGTTCCTGGGTTTTCTACCATATAAATGCTCAAGATTTTAAGGTAATAGAAAACTTTTCTCAAATTATTTAAATACCACCTATAGGAAGTAAATCTCTGTCTTCACTAGCACTTTTTGCCAAAAACTGGGTATAAAACAACACTTCATAATAGTCTCCATTTGATTTTTCCTGGTTTCTAGGGTAATGGAGCATATTCCATATACATGACATTTGGACTTCCTCTTCTATGACATGTCTATTTAAACTGTTGATGATTTTTCAATGGATTTGTTGACCTTATTAAATTATAGGTGATTTTTATATTTGAATACTGACCTTTGAGCAATGAAAACTGTACTGAAGATACATTTTCTCATTTTGTGTTTTTTGATAAATAGTTCTTAATTTTATTGTTAAAAACTGTGTGTATATGGCGTGCGTGTTGCTGTGTGTGGAGTATGTATGCAGGTATGGGCACTGTGTGGATGTTTATAAAGACCAGAGGCTAGTGTCATCTTCTCTCATTTCCCATCAGATTTTTATTTAAGACAGGATCTCTCACTGACTCTGGAGCTCACTGATTAGCTGGACTGGCTGGCCAGTGAGTCCCCAGGATCCTTCTGTCTCTACTCCACCAGCACAGGTATTTTACCGGTGGGCTTGCACATGTGTGCTACCCTGCCCAGTATGTTTATGCGGATGGCAAGGATGTGAACTCAGTTCTCATATAAGTGCAACAAGCACTTTCCCTGCTAAGCAATCCCCTCAGCTCCATAGTTCTTAATTTTCTATAGTTGAAGCTTTCACCATCTTTTAATCTCAATTTTAATTCAAGTTAAATTAATTAAAACGACAAATTATAACATGAAAACCCTACAGATTATTGGCGTACCTCAGAATGTTTCATTTCAATACACGTAAGCATTTGTGAAATACTAATATAAAATTAAAAATTTTTATCTTTATAAACATTCATTATTTAATTTGTTTGTGGTAATAATCATTCAAAACACCCCTCTCTAGCTTTTGGAATGTATAGTGAATTATTATTTCATTTGTATCTATAATGGTCATGGACTTTTGTGTCTCCTTTAAGATGTTGTCCATTAAGGCATATGGAAAATATTTTCCTACTATGATTTGTCTAGTGATCCTGATTCCACTGTGTCCTGCTAGAATACAGGCAGTTAAGATGATAGTAATGCATCCGAGATGCTCCTGGAGGAACATTACATGTACCACCTGCTCTGCAAGCATTTTGAAGGGCTCTAACTTTAACTTCATATGTTAAGTAATGAAGTTTTTATTGCATCCTATAGAAGTGAGTATGGAATAAATACTATTAATTTTGAAAGATAATAAAGTAAACATCTGTGGTGCTGGGTGCCACAGATTTTGTCAACTTCACACAAATCCTAGACATAACTGGTTAGCTTTGGTCAACTTGATGTAAACTAGAGTCACCTAGGCAGAGGGAATCTTAATGAGCAATTGTTATGATCAGATTCGTCTGTAGAGCATTTTCTTGGTTAGAGATTGATGTGGGAGGGCTCAGCCCATCTCTGGGGGTGCTACCTCTGGGCATATGGTCCTGGGAAAGCTGAGAAAACTATGGGAAGTAAGCCAGTAAGAAGTGTTCTTCCATGGTCTCTGCTTCTCCGGATGATAGACTGTGACTTGGAAGTGTAAGCTGAAATACCACACACTCACACAAGGTAGTTTTGGTCAATGAGTTATGACAGCAGTGTATACCAAACTAGGATTCTTAGAAAGAGGGACTCTCAAATGAGGAATCGCCTCCATTAGACTGGCCTTTGTGCATGTCTGTGGAACAGTTTCTTGATTAATAATTGATATAGGAGGGCCCAGCCTACTGTGGATGATCCCATGATGAGGCAGGAGGGTCTGGGCTGTACAAGAAATGTAGCTGTGCAAACCATGAAGAGCAATTAAGCAGCATTCCTTCCTCCCTGGTCTCTGCTTCAGTTCTTGCCTCCAGGTTCATGCCTTGAGCTCCTGGCCTGGCTTCCCTATGATAGACTGTAACCTATAAACTGAAATAAATACTCTCCTCCCGCATTGCTTTTGGCCATGGTATTTGTATCAAACAGAAAAGCAAGCTCAGACACAGTACAGTGAGGAGAAAGGAAGCTGTTTCACTAGATGGAGAAGGCAGAGGAAGGTACAGATGAGACTCCTTCAGGAAAAATGAAGTCTGTCTCAAGAAACAAGCAATATTTACAGTGTCAACACCAATTTAACACATGGCTGAGAGAGAGTTTGGATGTTGCTGTTTTCCTCCAAGAAGACTAACTGGATCAATGGCATGAGATTGGGAGTAAAGGAACTCATAATGTCCCTCCACTTTCTATAGAACCAACAGGAATAAGTGGAATTCTACACTGTAAGAATTAGGGGCATGGTTTTGACAGTAGCCAACATATAGCTGCCTCTTCAGAATCCACACATCCTGATTCCTTTTCTCATTTGCCCTTCGCAGCCCAGACTGGCCAGCTGTGCATGTGACTCCAGGCTGCTGGCATTTAATTCAGGGGAGGTACTTTTGCAAATCTGTAAGAGTTACCAAAACTTCAATAATTACATTTAAACTTAAAACTTACCCAATGAATCTGGGATTATCTCCTCTGGAGAATGAAATGGCTGTAGTGTATCTTCTGTCCTTTCCATCAGATTGTCTCCTTGAAGCCTAAATGATTAAAAAATCATCATTGGAGATTGTAACAGAGCAAAATGGTGAACTAAGAAGTATATACCAGACTTCTGAAATCAAACATGATTTCTTAAAGTAAGCATAAACATTTGCTAAATCCATCTTAATCCCAGGTCATTGCTTTTTCTGGCCTTTAATGAAAGATCTTCTATCTGCTCGTGTATATACATACATACATACATATATATATATATATATATATATATATATATATATATAATAAAATCGTTACACTAGACCACTTATTCTCAACATGTGGGTCATGACCCCTTTCACAGGGGTCACATATCAGATATCCTGTATATCAAATATTTACATTGTGATTAAAAATAATAGCAAAATTACAGTTATGAAGTAGCAATGAAATAATTTTATCTTTGGGGGTCACCACAACACAAAAAAACTGTATTAAAAGGTGACACAATTAGGAAGATGGAGAACCACTGTGGTAGACTTTAGTGTCTAGAGCCAAACTCCTTTACATCTTAGCCTGAGTAGAGAAATATTTATAGCGAATGTTTTTGCTAAACCACAAAATTGGGTTAAGTAGAAGGAAAATAAGTCTGATGCCTTGCGTTCAGCTGACTTCAGGATCCTGGACTTACAAGACAGTTTTTATGATTGCACAGAGGTTTCACACACACACACACACACACACACACACACACACACACACACACTTCTCCAAATGAACCAGTGTGAATAGAAAGACCAGGGGTATGGGAGCCCACAAAGGTTTTCTAGTGAGATCTGAGCTTGCTTTACACAGCAGGGCTGCATTAGGGAATGGCTTGACCATATGCATGGTTACCAGGTGTCTGGAATGTTCTGCACTTGACTGTGCTAGGAGGAAATCTTTTGCTCCACCTCTTGGTATTCCTTTAAAAAGCCCTTTAATAGGAACAGAAGGGGCTGGTGGGTTTGGACCTGGGCCCTCCCAAGGCTGTCCTGTGTTTCTATCTGTCTCTCTCTCTCTTCTATCTACAAATTCCTCATTTCTCCCCGTTCAAGAGTACCCTGGGGGAATAAATGGGAGGTGGTCTCCCTCACAGGGGTCACATTATAAGACAATTCTTATGATTGATTGCACAGAGGTTTCATACACACATACACACATACACACATGCACACACACACACACACACACACACACACACACACACACACACACATACACACACAGAAATTAAAGACTTGCCAAAGAGAATTTTCCTTGTAACACATTTTGGTCAGCTGTGTAGGCATTTTATACCTCAATAAGTTTTACCTAAAAAAACTTAATGTTTTAAAATAATTAATGAACTAACTTTTCTCAAATCTTCCTCACTACTTTCCCTCTTTTCAATTCATACAAACAAATTAAGAAAAATATTTTTGATAACTCATAATATCAAATATTGGTGTTTGAGCTTTCTTTTCCATGACCATTCTATCAAAATTATTAAAGATGAAGTAAAAAGGCACATTGCATATTTAAAGATGTAAATAATATTTGTTATTAAAAATTCACAAAGGGCTAGTAAGCTACCTCAGTGGTTAAGAGTTCTTACTGCTCTTTCGGAGAACCAAGTTTGGATTCTAAGAACATCCATTGGGTGACTAACAAATGCCTGTAACTACAGATCCAGGGAATTCTATGTCCACTTCTGGCCACCGAAAACAACCCCATGTATATGTACATACAAACACATATATACATAAATACAAAATTAAAAATTCACCTTTAAAAATATTTCACAAATGTTTCAACATACTTGTGGAATTAACAGTAGGTTAAAATGTAAACAGGCACTAAATTCCCAACAAAGATGAAGAGAATTAAGACATAAAATCTGTGCATAGTTGGTGTGCCAGCGCTTGTCTGTAAGCCTGCAATCCCAGCACATAGGATATGAAGGCAGAGGATCCCCAGTTCAATACTAGCCTTGTAAAAATCTGTCTAAGAAACCGAAAAACAAAAATGAAATAAAATAATAAAATAAAATAAAAGTTTTTTATTGTTATTTTTGTTTCTGTGTTTTTACTCATCTGATGAATCAGTAGAGGCAAATGTTTACATAGTATTTATTAATTTGATCGGTGACGGGCCACATGTTGCAAGGATCAAAGGATATTCTAACTGAGTTGAACAGACAAATAGCCATGAATAAGTCCCAGCAAATTGGGTGTCCTTGAAGCCAGTTCATCCTTTGTCCAGCACGGCCCTCCAGATGCCTGAGAAGTTGTTCGCCGTGACTTGGCACCTTTCCCCTGGGGAGTGACATGCTTGACTGCTCTGCCAATGTTCCCCAGGCTGTAAGCCACACAGCATCACTGTAGTCAGAGGCTAGGAACTGCTGCACAAAGGAGGGTTGTGTGGGCAAGTCCGGGAAATACAGCCTCTAAAAAGTTGAACTGTTTGTATTTTACCTTTTACCTCAAGACTTTTCCAAGCCTTTACTATTTGCTTTCTGAAACTACCCGTTCATATTAAACAAACTTCTTGATATGTTGAAGCCTTATGCAGGACACCTCCACTCATCCTTGTCACACTGAAGGGCTTCTGCTCGGAAGTGAGGTGGAGTTCAACAGTAGAGCATGTGCTTAGCATGAACATGAAGGGCAAAGTATTATTACTACATTACTCCTTTCCAAAAAAAACTTCCTGGTCCCTCAGCCTCATGTCACTGGGGATTGTGTGGATAAACCCTTCTGCTCTCTGGTGATGAAGACTTTGCTGGGATCTCTTTTCTTCTTAAACCTAGTGTCCCTAGGATCTGGAGTGTTCAACTGTTCATGTGGGTGCACATGGGAAAATCTCAAGGTCCCTTAACTTCCTCGGACCTGGAGATCACTTCTCTGCTTCATCACCCCCAAACCAATGACAGGACTCTCACAGTCACTTGGTGGTAGAAATGCCTGAGTCCATGTTCCTTGGAAATGCTTCCATCCTTTATGCTTTTTCATAATGCCGTTCAGGTTAACACTTTTTTTCTAGAATGATTTTAGTTGTATGTCCCTGTTTGCACTCTTTTTTGTTAGGTATTTAGTTTTTTCCTATTGTCTTTCTTCCTTCCTCAGTTAGATCCACATGTCCTCAGTTCCCTGTCATGCAGTCCTTCCTTAGCTGCCACCAAGACTCCAGCCCCACACTGACCTGTCATATGGTGCCTGCGTGAAACTAAGCAACACTAGAGATGCTAAGACTCTCTAGTCCTGGGAGTACAGCACGATAGTTTCCAACTCTAAAGCCTTCTCGGGTGTCTTTCTCCCATTTTTTTTCAAAGACTTTCCAAAAATAACACTTCTCCTGTGTCACACACATACACACACACACACACACACACACACACACACACACACACACACACACACACACAGCTCCCACATTGTGTAACACATGTTGCTATTGTTTTTTTCTTATGTATTGTACTTGGAGCCAAGCTTTCACTTTTTCAAGGCTAGTTTGTTGGGAGTCTCCGTCACTGTGTTGTTCTCTCTGGCACCATTCCCTTCTCCTCTTTTGCCATGTGACTTATTTCTTGTTTTTCGTTCTGAATTCTCCCCTTTTCAAAAACCTTTCTTCTGGAAGTCTTTCAAATCGGTGCAAATCTTTACCATAGCTCTACTTCACTGTGTCTCAGCTCTTTATTTAGATGTCTGTGTTTGCTAGTTTCAGAAGAGATTTTGTCCCTAAAACTTACCTTAACTGAGTTTGGGTTAACTGAGTTTGGTACATTACAGGCTCTAAGAAAATTTCTGAGATATTTTTCACTGATTATTTCAGTTTGGAAGTAAAGAAAGATATGATCCAGATGACCGGTAAGAATTCTCTGCAGACTACTTATTTTTAACAACATGCCCTTGAGAAATCCTAAATATCACCCTGTCTGTATCTTGGGTCACGTAGTTCTTTGCCTGGCCCACCTTGATGCAGAACATGAGGCAGAGACTGCTGTGTAAGGGCTTCTGTAATCCAGGAACCAGGAAAGAAGGACATGGGTATGCAGAGTAGGAACAAAGCCATGTGATGATGGATAAAGCCCACATGGAGTTCTGATGAATCCAGTGAGATGTGATTACTTGAAGGATGAAAGGACAAAGCATTGGTTCACAGATACCCAGTCGGGGTGGCTCTTGGGCACTGGCTTTTCTTAAGCCATAATGTGCATGTGCTCTAGTATCCTATGATTGCCATTTGTTATTCCTGAGCAGTAAATAATATGTAACAGGACCAAGGTAAGTGAGATGCTGAACTTTGCCCCTATACAAATCCAGTTACCTCCCCTTAAAACACCTCAACAAGAGGTAAGGCAAAGAATGTCACAATGAAGCATACATGGGGATAACAATGGCTATAAGTATTTTTGTTTAAAACAAATTAATCAGCTTTAACTTTGTACTAGCCAATGAGATCCAGTTAGGAAGAAGAAGGGCTGATATAAACACTGGAAAACAGTATCCCAAATTTTGTGGGATGCTTACTGACAGTCTTAACAAACAGGGTATTGACAGATGTATCCACAGGAATTATTGTGCCTTTCACAAAACCTTGTATGTATGCATGATTAACAAACATGGTATAGTGAGAAATTACACAGATCTTGCGAAATATAGACACAAGGAAGAGGGACTGGTCAAGAAAAGGTCAGAGCTCATTCAGGAAATTGGTTGTGATAGTATGGGTCATGTGTTGGATAGATTTCACTCTTTCACCATGGAAAACACAGAAGGAACATCCAAGTTCTCATCCAAAAGAATCAATAACATCACAGGACTGCTTGTTCTGAGGAGTTTGAAGAGTGTAAGCAGTGAGGGAATGGGGAAGGTAATGTGTACCATTTAGTTTGTTCCTTTTCAAAAGCCAGAAAGATTCAATGAAGTACTATATTTTTAAATATTTTTCTTAAATCTGTTCTGTTGTCTGGATATGCAGTCCTGTGGTAGAGTGCTTGTCAAGCATGCATAGTACCCTGGGTTTGAAACCTAGCAAAAGA